TGCACACGACGATCCTGTGGCTTTACAACTCAATACCGCACGCATCGGATATTATTTCAATAAACAAAAACCCGTGTATGTGTTGAATCGCATTACAACAAGGATACGATTTTATCTTGCATGAATTATTCGTGTTACATCCATAGATCGGAATTTTCGCGGTATGAGGTGTGTGATAATGAACGAAATTTCATAGAGTAAGGATCGTTAATTGATTGATGTGCATGTAATAATTTCAGTTGCCTAGAAAGCCATCAATTTGCACTAGCATTAATATCTGCCGAAATTGATGTTATCTATGCAAACATTAAAGGAGTATAAGTAATATACGTTATTATCCTCGGATCTATCTTTATTGACAGAAACGTCTCATGATACTCCAACATGTACACGTTTTTAAATGATTTTTCTCATTAACGTTTGATGAAAGATAGAAATAATAGACAATAAAAATTGACTGAAATCTTTTTATGAAGGGATCAATATTTATATATAGTTTGCCTGCGCATTAATGAAACGTTTTTCGGGTTTAATATATAGGACTGATATGTGATATGATTTTGCTTTCACCAAGATTGATAACAATTAATGATATATATTGTTTTTTCATTAATTCATACAAGAGTGTGAATGTTTTCTATTTCGGATATTTATATTATAAAAACTTCATAAATATTTTATAAGATATATCTTATTTTATTCTAGTTAATTATAATGTAATATTAAGATAAATCTAATGTTCCATTTTAAAAATATAATGAAAAAATATTAAATAGTTATTAAAAGATAGAGAAATAATATTGATTCCGAATTAACTCTTGGAGGAATTTTCAAATCACAAATCGTTTGCTTGTTCACTAAAGAATGTTTGCTTCTCCTGAAAGAATTTTAGGAATTTCTCACCGCTGTGTAACGAATCCGGTCATTTCCCAGGCAAATCTGCAAGTTTCTGGTCTTTTAGAACAACATACTCTCGCTACCGCAAAAAAAGCAACGAGAGTATAACTGCCCGCAGTTAGTCCGTAGCTATTTCAGACAGATTTCAAGTTCGCCGTGAGATGAGATTTGCGTCTACAAATAGTTAGTTGGAGCTTTATTGTTTGCCTCAGGCAGAGGTAAGACAAGCCGGATATGCTCACACCCACCTGAGTCATACTCGCTTCGTCCTACTGTCGTGCTCGTGCGTTTGCGTATTCTGCCGCATAAATTACGTTAGCGCCAGTTCATCAACTTTCACGCGAATGAACAAACTTTCCGGCGGATTCTCATTCCAGATTATTACTGTCCCGCGCATCACCGGAGGTTTTAGCGTAATTGTAAAACCGCAACGCGCTTGACATCGATAATTTGTAAACTAATATTGAACAAAATTGCACGCGTAACTTTTTACTCATCTCATATAATATTGTAGTTCGCGAGTTATTATAAATTTTTCATTACCAAGCTTAAATATTCCATGATTAATAACAGTAATAGTTTTAATAATTCAATTATTAATAATTCATAATTTAATAATTCAATTATTTAAACATAATGATATAGGAATATTAAGGATGCAAACCATTTTGAATTAATAGTATATTAAAATTCTCATTAAACTCTATGAAATTATAATTATAAATTTTAAAATCCTATTTTTGAAAATAATTTCTGAGAAATTGTAATTCTATCCACAGTTTCTTTTGATTAAGTTGATTAATACTTTGAAGAGGTACTGTAAAGCCAAATAATCTTAGCATAAATAATAATAGCGCCACCTTTCAGTTAGGTATCTATCGGGTTCTTAATTCTTTGGGGATGGAGCATGAGAAAGTCTTACTGTTCATCGAAAAGCTCTTCTCGGTGTTCGAAAAACCACATTATGGAAATACCGCTTACACGCGATCACAATGTCACTTTCTTTACTTGTACTGAAATACATTGCTCGACGATTTATCAATTATATTGAGAGTATTTTCTGCTGAGGGAAAATTTTATCCTGGAGACTTAAAAAATTTCTGTTCGAGAATCAAAATATTGTCGAAACTCTTTCATTTTATGTTTCGTTTCATTGCTTCGAGCGTTGAGAACAGTAGTCAGAATTTTCAAGGAGTTATCCAGAACTTTAAAGAAAATGCCAGGAAAGATCCGTGAAAAACTTTCCACTCGTAGAAAACTGAGGAAATCCGAAATGAGAACATTGGAGTTGGTTAAAATTTGGAAAAGTTGATTAGTCGCATTAAATTTGCGTGTCGTCAACATAAACAGAATATTGGATCAACGTACGGGAAAGTGCGGGGACACGTCGCATTTTAGCCCATGGCAAACAGTAAAAGCTCCTCCACAACCTACCCGTCCAACAGAAAGGGCGAGCATATAGCGAGTGATGAAGAGACGTACAAGACTAAGCACGGGCGCCGGTCGTTTCCTGGATGCTTCCGCATGTTTGTCCGCCTCAAATACGTGCCTTCCAGGACGCGGTGTAAGGAAGGTGCGGGGAAAGGGAAGGAAATGAAGACGAGAAGCGGTCGCGGGCGGAATGGTCGCGTCGTGCTTAGCATCCTTTCACGACTCTGAAATACGAGTGAAATCAATTTGAGCAACGTGACTACCTCGCATTGATCGCTACCATCGGAAGCTTCCACTAAAAATATCCCGGAAACTAACAATCTCTCCCGCATCGTGATTGTAGTGAAATTTGTACGTTTCATGATTGGTACATTGTTAAATTTATTATGTCAAATTATATGCAACTTTAATTATTTTTAATTATTTCTGTGTATGTCACTGCTCTTCTAATATGTCATTAATTTAACTAAAACAATGGAATTAAACGACTTAACTCAAGAAATGTTTAAACTAAATTTGATTTACACAGTCAAGTTTTCACAATCTTTTATTTACTAAGGACATACGTTAATATGAATGTCGTTTATTTTGAAACTACAGAAACGGATTCATTTATATTTTGACACTCATGAAAGTTAAAAATAACAAAATGTTATTTAGCAAAATATTAACAAAATATTGAGTTAACATTTTACTTACTATTGTTTTTTTATATCTAACAATATTATTAGCAATTTTTCGCTAATTATAAACTAATGCCTGCTTGAATAACTTTTTGTTTGTTGGTTTTCATAAATATTATTACGAATGATTTAATTACAATGATTTTTAAGCCATTTATTTGTTGATAAGTAAATCTTCGATATCATTATTTATTTTTATTAATAGATATTATTATTCTTTCATTGCAACGCATAACGAAATGCAGTCGCTAAAGTAATAGAAATATATTATTACAATTTAGTATTCAATGTGAAAAGCACGCATTATTAATATTTCGATTTTATCGATATTGGATTTCAACATATATACTACCACATAATAAATACTAATAATTTCTGTGAAACGCGAATAGATAATGAGCGTAACACAGCTTTGATCGTGTTGTCCGTTCTTGCGTTAAATTTATTCTTTGATAAAAAAGTTATGCACAAGTCTAGACGTTAGAATCGTTTTTCAATAACGATAATATATACAGTGTCGGATACATATAGAATCTTTCTATTAAATCTCTCAAGAAAAATTAAAAGTTATAGTAATAATAATAATAATAATAATAATAATAATGGGTTTTAAAATACGCTGGCCTTATAATGCATTAATAGAACATTTTTTGTAATATATTGAATGTATTAAATTTTATTTAATATTTTATAACACCCTTTTCTTACATTATTATATTTGTTAACAATAATAATTTATTTTGTCTAATCTGTTACCATTTCCGATACCATTCATCTGTTTCCATTTTGAGATTTGTGTGTAACATATTTGTCAAAAGAATGTATCTCACTTACAAAAAGATACATGATATAATTATTATGAAAAACTTTGTAGTTTTAATAACAATTTGCGATTTACAAAAGAGACTGAAACTAATTATCTGGACAATGTGCCATTATATTAATAATTTCTTCAGTCTATTATTCAAACTAATATTATATAAAAATACTAGTTTTACAATCAATCATCTGAATAAATATAAACTGTTATCTATTAATGCTATAATGTGTGTGTGGAATCATAATTTTTAACGGAAGACAATTTAAAGAAATCATCGATATAAAAATAGTGCATTAGTTTTATATAGTTACATACAATAGTCGCCGGAAAAAACCATTTTTAATTTTATATATATTTTTTCATATATAAAATTAAAAATGGTTTTTTCCGGCGACTATTGTATGTAACTATACAATTAAAGAGAAAGAGAAGGAAAAGAGAAGCAAAGCAATTCACAGTAAACGTGATCAACGAATTTTCGACGAGACAAGAATAAATAACGTGTGAACGAAATTAATTTATGCAACGCCGCCATCAAATCTTCCATAGTCTCTTCTCACTGAATATTACATTTTCCGTCGACGTTTCCGGCGAGAACGCGACGTCGTCGTGACGACTAGATTAGAACTGGCGCGTAACTTCGACACGGCAACGTACCATGAATTTCATAATTCATGGAAATAAACGCACACACGTGACTAATAGCGTTACAATTAATAACCGGAGCATTTCGCTACGTGCTGCACGTAATTCGCGCCCGTTTGCTTTTCGGAAATCCTTTCGCATTCTCACATTTCACTCGCTTTATGTTCAATTAATTGTATTTGTTTATATGTTATGTGTGTTTAGTTAAAGTTAAAATCGCTATATATTAATTTATAATAATTAACATTTCTGTCTCAAATTATTGTAATTTTTTGTTTTTTAATGAAATACATCATATTAAGCAAACGTTTCCAGAATGTTTCTCTTACATTTATTAATGTTAATAATTGAATAACATTTTTTTTAGGAGTGATAGTTTGTAAGTTACTTCAAGATCTGAAGCAAAATAATTCCATTAAAACTCTAATTAATAGCGCTAGAAATATTCGTATTTTTAAATTACATGCTTTGTATTATTGGGTGAGCATTAGCAATGAATAAAGCTAAGATTCATATTTTTGCAGGCCGAACCAGCATTAATATATGACAGTGTACAGGTGTTCGCGGTAGGATTACGTACCTTAGAGCAATCCCATGCCTTAAGGCCCGCCAATATTTCCTGCGAGCTCGAGCACCCCTGGGATGGCGGCTTGTCTCTTACCAACTATATCAACTCGGTAAGCTTCCCTCTTTTGCATTTCTCTATACCAATATACATATATATTATTATTACGTAAATTACATGTAATACTAACTTTTATTTGGATTATATCGGGCAGCACATACCTGAATTATTTATATAAAATAGGTAACTGAACGAGTACAGCGCAATAATCATCATTAATAGGATTAGATGACAACACGCGAAGTATAATTTTGTATAAATGTATTTAGTATCAATGTTACTATTTATTTTCATAAACGCACGTTCGAAATATTGCAGAAATTTGTATTATTTTTATGACATAGAGTGATGCTTATTTGCACCATAAGATCGTGACGTTTTTGCCATAAATATACCCACGGGACGTATTTTAATTTTTCATAACACCGTCCCCGCATACATTCTCTACAATTTCATAGCATTGTCACCTGCCTCTCGACTTTTCCCGAGAATAGGCATTGTCGAAGGAGAGAAAATCCGCGTCGGGGAGTTCCATCGTTGCTCTTTAACAGCATCACTTGCCAGATTCGCCTCGAAAGACAACCCCAAGGGAAAAGAAACATGCTGCGATGGCTTAAATTACGAGACTACTAAGATCTGGCTGGTGTCCAAAATAAACGATATCCGATATAATAACAAGCGCTCGTTTCCGCTCGATTTGTACAAATATTTAACCTGACGCGGAAGAAATCATCAGATTTGTGCGTGCACATGAAATTCGAATAAATCTCATTAAAAAATTTTTGTTTATATATCTTCATATTTATTCATATTATTATTCATATTATTATCTTACAGTTAAAATATTGTAGAGATATATTTTTATAATTTTCAATGCGTTAATATTTTTTATATGAAACTTTGAATTTTCATCATATCATTTCACCTCATATTATTTTTTTCGGACTGTTAATACTCTGATGAGGTGTTTCTAACAATAATAGTGCTTCAAAGAGAGCATCCAGCAGCTAAATATTTGTATGAATGTAGGAGAAAACACGTTTCAATAAATTTCAATCAACGTTTTGCGCGCGAGCGTATGTCGCTCGTACGAGACACCGCGCTACTAGCGCAAGCGTATAGCAGCGCGACGGATAAATTGTTTAATACCATGATGGACGATTCCAAAGCTGTCACAAGCAGGAGCCACAAATCCTTCCGTGATGTTGTACTTCCCCTTTTCAACCTGTACGACATTCTTCCTGTTCCCGTGTCCGACAAGGTACGATACTCGGCTGCAGTATTTCAGGATTGATATCCACTAGAGACAGAAAGAAAATCGCGATATTGTTCTTTCATAAAATATCATACACGCACGTTATATACAAGAAATTTAAAAATTATATTTTATAATTATAAGTTGCTTTTATTTTACCATTTATTAATTTATTTTATTAATTATTTTCCTCGGGGAAGATTTGTTATTTATTATTTTTTACATATATTTTTATACATAATATATTTTATAAAAGGAAAGAGAAAACAATATCTCAATTTTTTTTCTTCCGTTTCTAATTGATATTATTCTAATTGATTGTGAAATACTACGATGGAGTACGTATGTACACTATACATAGAACATTTCTAATTTCTTAACGTATTATTTCTTACATCTTACGAAAATTTCCAACCAGATGGATTTTTCACGTTATCTTTCAAAAGCGAAGACCAATGGAATTTGGTTAGTATTGTATATAAGAGTGTGTTTTTTTTTAAATAGAATATAAGAAATGTATTACTTATTATTAAAAATGTATTTCTTTAAAGTATTATTGAACTAACTGAAAGAGTTGGTTCGGTATTAAGAATGATGTTACGTAAGGAATATCTTCAAATTTTTTGTTATTTGCTGTTATATGTTAAAGGAGAAATGTCATAAAATGGATATTTTAACATAATTCTCAATATGTCTTAAAGATAGTCAATGAGAGAGAGAGAGAGAGACAGAGAGAGAGAGAGAATAGTTGTCTTCAAATAATATAAAATCTTAAGCACTGATCTTTTTAATCCCCGGATCTGAATTCTAGTATCTATGAGAAGAACTAAATCGTCGCAAGACTTTACAAATATGCAAATTCTAAGAAGATCGACAAGTTTTCACGGAAAAATGAAATCAGATATCACATAATTATATTACGCATTTGAATATATTCGTCGTTATTATTGTAAAAAATAAATTTTAGTGGAGGATTATTAACAAGGCTATTAACGGTAAAACATTATGAAATTACAATATTAGCGGTAAAATGTTAATTAAAACATTACAAAACTAATATCATGAATTATTACATTTATTTGCCTTGCAAAACATTAGTCAGATACTTTGGAACATTAATTAAATAATTTTTTAAATAAATACATACATCCGATAATAAATATTCAGTAATAAATAGTGTTTATTTATATTTTGTTAAATGACGTATTCTTATATCCAATATTAGTCCAGATTCCTTTAGTCTTTACTTTTAATTTAAAAGAAAATGTGAAAAATCCATTTGAGATTTAGCACGCTGTTGTATATTTTACACAACTTTTGTAGAAATATTTATAGTAATTTCGCAACTGATCTCAAAAAGTACACAAACGTACACCGATGGAATCTCTTTTACACACGTTTGAACCAGTTTCCATCACGATTCGGTGACCCTTCGTTAAGCGGAAAGTCCGTGGTGCTATATATGTATCTGAACCGGCGCATAGAGTTCAATTTTCCCGAATTGTACAGAGACTTTCGTAACCCGGCGCGTACGTGACTTTCACGTTGCTTGTTAGGAAATAAAAAGTTCGTACGGTAAATGCACCGACACGAGAGACCATTGGAGAATTTGAACACGGCTGAAGCAGGAAGAGGCATGAGAAAAGTGAAAGAAACAAAGATAGATCGAAAAGAAAGAGAGGAAAAGGACGAAAACTAGCGTTGCGCACTTTCGCAGTAGGAAACTACAAAAGTAATAAAAATTGCGCTAGTATCACCTTATATATACCGGAGAAGAAAATGGTAACCGTTAGTGTCTGCATGTTTTCAAGAAAATATCTTTTGTAAGAATTAGTTAAAGCGCTCGCAGAGATAGAAGGAGGAAACCCGCGCGTGCGACGCGAACCCGGGATACAGAACTAAACCAACCATCGCGCCGCTTTAAGAGCACAACAAACATCGTGTATACTACCTTGCTTCCCACAAACGTCATCCCACAAACGAAATAACATCACATACTTCGGGTGCAGCAGACAATACGACCGTCCGCATTTGCTTTGCAGCGTCTTCTCGCTATGTGCATTCATAATTTGTTAAGTTTACCTTCTTTAGCTTCCCTTTAGCTACTCAACTTTAACCGTCTTCAGCAGAGAAAGGACCTGAGGGTTAAAGCTCCACTGTCCATAATATCTCGTCCCTTCGATTTCCCTTCTCTCTCGCTCTCGATCGAACGCGCCGATTATACCCGCGTGCGATCATTAATTGAATAGCGCCATAGAGATTCCAATATCAGTCGAAGGGCTCTAATCAACTTGGGGATATTTGTGCCGCTGTCTCCTGCCGACGCTGGAATTCCTGCACGTCCAGTCCGACGTGCCGACGCAGTTTAGATTATGACACCGAATATGTCGAAAGTGAATTAATGACGCCGCGCCCAGCATTGGAATACATATCCACATCTTATGATGCACAGAGACCAATAAATATCATCTGGTTCGCGATATGCCTCGTACGTGCGGTATACAACAATCAGCTGACTATACATTTGCACATAAATGCGATGTTGTTTACGATATATATTTGTGCTTGCTCCTACGATATATAGCAGAATGCAATGTAAGTAACAATAGATAAACGAGCACTATTCTCTAATAATTATACGATAATATATACTAAAGATGGTTCAAAATAAACTGAAACTGATATACAAATATTTGTTTGAATAGAAGAGAAGGTGATATCATGGCCAGTGTATATATTGTGATCTCCGCTATTATATAACTAATCCTTATCATTACTTATGGAATTATTTGTTCGGTAGCTCGCTGTTACCATAATGCTAATATACCACTACTCAATAACCAGCACTTATTATAACACATTTTTAATTTCAAGTATTTTGAAATGTTTCTAAGGTACATTTTAGTATTTAATTATACTTCCTCATTTTTCTTAAACTTGAGTATTATCACACAAATATATGTATTTTTGAGTGTGTTTGCTATTTAACATTTTATTTGATTGTATATTTTTTGAGTTATTCAAATTTAAACAATAGCGTGGCATTTTGCTAATGTGGCCCTCTATGGATATTAACTCACTCTTTTTTAACGCTTTTATATTAAAATATAATTATTTGATAATCGATTGTAGCTCTACTATTAATCTACAGTTTATATTACGTGTACTATTTTTAAGGTTGAGATTTTTAGTACTGAGCAGTTTATATACAGAAGTTATGTGAATATATATTTATTTACATACATTTTAAAATGTTTTACTTTTTTGTTAATTTTGTAACTAAATGTTTTCTAAACAAAATTAATTTTTAAGGCTATTTTTATGGAAGGCTACATTACCATCCATGTTTTTCTTCGAATCATTACGCAATGTCACCACGTTTTTATTAATAGTGTCCTAAGCAATAAATATTTCATAATTTTAAATCCAGAATCGATTCAACAACATTTTGACGAATGTAATCGTATTTTTATTATTATTATTTGTAATTTTACTATTATTATTAAATTAAATTTTTTTAACTTAAAGATTTATTATGTAATTGTTAAGTTTTTTTTAAACTTAAATATTTATTATTAACAAAATTATTGTGTAAAATGTAACTGGGGTGCCATAATATACCACTTCCTCCTCTACTAAATACATGAAATATTAAATTGATTTTAAATTTATTATTGCGTTTCAATTACCGCGCTGATTTCTTTTAGCTTTTTTCGTTCATTATTATTTGATATATTATTATTTTTATGTCTCTTCAAATTTTTTACATAAGATAAGTGCCTCATTTGTCACATCCT